GTTAATATCTCCTCAACGAAGCCTCGGACAACATTTTCGCTAAGGAAAAAGTTGCTTCAAATCACCTCCCGAACCACCTCTTTCAAGGTGTTACAACATTTTTGGGACACCCTGTACACGATTTACTTACCACCGAACGGAATATCCTGCGGCATGTATAACAGGCCAACATCGTTTATGGTCGGTGAATAATCAGGGTGAAGGGCTCCTACGTTCGTCATCATCGAAATTCCAGGTCCTTGATAGAAATTGTATCCGACGCGCGATTTATCGATATCCCCGAATACTACGAAGAATTGTCGCGGCTCGTTTGCTACACAATGGCCAGCGGTCAGTACCCATCTATGAGAAATAATAGTACCACCGCACTGTGCAATCATTCCTCCACCCATCAGTCGCTGCACCACAGCCATAAAAGGAAATTGATTTTTTCTCGCGTACCTTCCACCGGCTATCCTTTGCGTGTTCAACTCATCTGTTTTCATTAACGATACGATTCATGAAGCTGTAGAAATACTTACAGTGTGTGTAGAATGTATTCGTAATTGTTTTTTCTTAACTTCTGTTTTTACAATCAATGATATTTCACATATTCTCGAAGGTCTCTAAGATAGATATAGTCCGAACAACATTTACTAGTTAATATAATTTGTGAAATTAACAAAAAGAATTCGCGAACGTGACTACTAAAATTGAACCTAAATAAGAATATATGTTATTCTGCAAATATTATAACACGAATTTTTTATGTTCTTGCATATAGTGTGCATTTTGTAGGTTCTTGCACATTCGAATTTCCTATAAATGCACAAAGATCCGCAGTCTACTTATGGCGAACCATTTACAGTAGAGTTTATAACGTAAACACATTAGTTTATTGTTTCGTACGACTTAGAAAACATCAAATTTCCAATAAAGTACTTAAAAAAAAAAAAAAAAAAAAAAAATAAAATATATGTGTCGAATTGCGTAAATTGCTTTGGAAATTGATCGGTGTACGAATACTTTCTACAGCCACTGTACATGGTATTTTGTTTACGTTAAAAGAAAACATACCATACCTTCCGTTACAGGAAAATGGCCCATCCTGGTAATGTTATAACGATTCGCGCCAATGCCTTTCTCGTACGAACCCGATCTACCGATTTTAAACGGATTGCAGTGAACATTGCTGCAAAACGTTAGAACAACAACGACGACGAAGAAAAACGAACGGATGCTTGCCGAAATCATGGTAAACTGTGCAAGATCGGTCCATTCCGGTTTCCTATATATACGCGCACACCTATTCTGGTCTATTCTGTAGGCGAGTAACGACGCTTTCTTTGGAAAATTTCGAATGCGACGGGTAACACGGGAAATTCCTTAAATCTGCAAGGTCAACGTTAGACCACGCGTTGAATTTCGAAACGGAATTGAGAAAACCGAAAAATGCGCTGCGCTTGCCGGTTCTCCGTAGCACCAACGACAGCGGGGGGTTGTCCTTTTGGGTATTTCCAGTGTCCTTCTTTTCACACGCAGAAACCGATTTCTCTTTTCCCTTCTTAAATCTGTTTTCCCACTTTTCAAGAAACATTTTACGTTCCGTCATTCTCATTAATAATTACTAGACTGCCGATCTTTATGCATTTATAGAAAATTTGAATGCGCAAGAAACTACAAAACGCAAACAATATGCAAGAACATATAAAAGATTGAAAGTAAAGTTCATGTTATAATATTTGCAGAATAAAATAAATTCCAATTAGGTTCGATTTTGTAGGCATAATACGTTATACGTTATACGTATACGTATTTTAAGAGGTATATTTTATGATTTTAGTAATAGTCGGTAGTAAATGTACGAAAATTTAACCAAACTTTTTGCGTACAGTTAGATTTCCGTTGGGCCCAGCTGTTAGTAATTCCTCGATAGGGGGGCAACCCTCATGGTGCGAAGGGCAACATTTCGAGCATGGTATAAAATGAGGGAGACTTCCGAGGTTATGCGTTGGCTGTTTAAAAATTGTTCAGACCCTTTTTTCTTCGCTGGAAGGGTCATCCCCTCTCTGGCGCCACTCGAACGGCCTGGAAGCGAGTGATTCCCCACCACTCGCAACGAGCCAATCAGATACTCGCAGCTGGCGCGTCGCAGGGCATATAAGCGGCGGTTATCCAGCGTAACTTACATTTTCAGTTGAGTTTCGCTGAGAATACTGCTGTCCGTACCGTTCTTGAAGAAAGATGGCTCGTACCAAGCAAACCGCAAGGAAGTCTACCGGTGGTAAAGCACCACGAAAACAGTTGGCGACAAAGGCTGCACGTAAAAGTGCACCTGCGACCGGAGGAGTGAAGAAGCCGCATCGTTACCGTCCCGGAACCGTTGCTCTTCGTGAAATCCGTAGATACCAGAAGAGCACCGAACTTCTCATCCGAAAATTACCATTCCAACGACTCGTTCGTGAGATTGCTCAAGATTTCAAGACCGACCTCCGTTTCCAAAGTTCAGCAGTAATGGCCCTTCAAGAAGCTAGCGAGGCTTACCTCGTCGGTCTCTTCGAGGATACGAACCTTTGCGCTATCCACGCAAAGAGAGTAACCATTATGCCGAAAGATATTCAATTGGCACGCAGAATTCGTGGAGAAAGAGCCTAAGTTCCCTTCATACAATTCAAACAAACGGCCCTTTTCAGGGCCAACAATATTTTCATTGTCGAAGAAACGATTTTCTGGTCACTTGAATTTTCTTCAAACACACTTGTTATTACCTGTATTTAATATCGAAGATAGATTCAAAATTTCTCAATTAAACCTTACCCTTTTCTTACCGGTGATATTTCATTTTGCATGTAAATTTATGTTTAGATTGAACTTACAAGTTTCGTAGTCGAGAAAAATATTTCTCTCAATTATACTCGTAACTATGTACGTTAATGCTTATAAACAATTATACCTTATAGTTCTCAAGTATCTATAGATTAATTAATGTATGATATTGATCCTTTATCAAGTTCGTAGATAATGTAAACACATTGCATTGAGTCGCTTTTATTAAGAAAAATTAAGCGATTCCCTAAACCGATACAGACTTTTTAAAAGTAATAATGTTTAGAAGTATTTAATATTAATCTGTACAAATTGCTAGAAATTCGATTGTTTTGTCATTTTATATATTAAAAAATATACATGTCGAAACTAGTAACCTCCTCCTGTTCGAAGTCGGTTACAAATCGTGATGTAAGCAACGAAAAATGATAAATGATAAATTTTATTACCAATTCTGAATTATCTTCATGTTTGAGATTCTCCATAGCTGGAAAAATAGGAACATTTTAGCATTTGGAGTAATAGGAGTGACTAGAACCTAGAACGTACTAAAATTTAAGGTTATGTCCTGTTTATTCTAAAACTTTCTGTAATTGTACAAATATTTAACAAAACTATAGCGTGACTTAAATGTGATATTAAATAATAGGGCTGAACTTTACTTTGGAGCACCAACAATTATTTTCTCTACATTTTTAATATTGAAATCTCATGTTTTGGTAACAGTGCTGTCACAAAGAATTTTTTTCTTCAATCGTTTGAATTTAATTTAAGCTTTCAACTTTCATTAAGTTACAAATGGCTTATAACAAAGATAAGTGCATTGCTTGGATAGACACAGAGGTATTCGCTTGCCAATATATTTTTTCAATTTTTGTAGTTATATAAAAAATACTGTACTCTGTTCTTTCTCCCAGCTAACAGGAATAGATATAGAAAGAGATACAATTTTAGAAGTTGCTTGTATAATAACTGATGAAGAGTTGAAAGTAATAAGCGAAGAATTTAATGTTGCAATTAATCAGAGTGATGCAATATTGACAAGTATGAATGAATGGTGTACACATCATCATAATATGGTCAGATTATTTTGTTTAAATAACTGTTGGTTCCATTGGTTTTACACCAGTAATTATATGTACTTTTAGACAGGGTTAATAAGTGACTGTCAATCTAGTAAACTGACTCTAAAAGAAGCAGAGCAAATGTTGCTTGATTTCTTAAAGAAGTACATTTCAAAAGGAACTTGTCCATTGGCTGGTAACACAATTTATATGGATCGTATATTCTTGATGAAACACATGCCATCAGTAAATGATTATTTACATTATAGAATTATTGATGTCAGTTCACTGAAAGAACTCGTCAGGTTATTATATTTACATTTATATTACCTATTTAATTTCAATGTCTCTCGAGATAGTATATAAAAAATTTATTTTAGGAGATGGAATCCAGTGATTTATAACAGCACACCTAAGAAAGAATGCGTACACAGAGCCTTGCCGGATATAAAAGAAAGTATACAGGAACTAAAATATTACAAGGAGAATATATTTTTATCTGGAGTCCCTTAACGATAATTTGTATTAGTTTGTATTTAAATTCAATAAATGTTTAAAAATTTATGATTTTTTGTCTTGTTACGGGTGCCTCTTTATACGTTATGCTTGCACCACTTATATTCTCGCATATTTACATTTATTAACAATTTTCTATAAATTTGTCTTTAGTTATTTTAATGTTGTGTAGTGTTCATTAATTGTAATGTATGCACAATTATTTATGTGTTCGTTGATATGACGCGAAAGACCTCTGACGGGATTTACGTGAAACGTCGAATTTAAATGTTTCAACGGTTAGCACCGCGAAGCACGTTCGTATACAATATGAGAGTATGCCAATTATTTTATGAGAAAGGAAACAAACGCTGGTGTGCAAGGAATTAAAAGTGATCGAACCGTAAAGTATATTTATTTGTGAAAAATGAACGAAACGCGTAACGAAAGTAAAAAAGATAAAAAGCAGCATATACAAGTTTTCGTTCGTGTCAGGTAATTTGACAGCAAACTGCTGGATGTTCGCGAGATATTAATATCAAACTTACCAATGTTCCTTTGTTTTATATTAGACCAATAAATAATGCTGAAAAAGGTGGGAAGGCAATGACAGTTGTGGATACACCATGTAACAGAGAAGTAATTATTCGTGAAAGATCACACGATAAGTTTACGAAAAAATTCGTCTTTGACAGAGTATTTGGACCTTCTTCGAGACAGGTATGTACTTTAATAAAATTAAACTTGTAACACGACACCTTACTTATGCACTATAAACATCTAGATAGATGTATACAATGCAGTTGTTCATCCGTTGGTGGAAGAAGTTTTGGCTGGATATAACTGTACAGTATTTGCTTATGGTCAAACTGGTACTGGAAAAACATTTACAATGGAAGGTGTTGATATCGAACCATCGTTTCACTGGCAAACAGTGAGTTTACTCTTGTTTTATATTATGCATAAGATTCAACTATCCAAGTTTAGTGTTTAGCAAGTGCTAGACATAAACACATTTAAAATTAAAAGTTAAATTTTGTATATTAAACACGTAGGATACCAGAGCTGGAATTATACCTCGTGCTTTGAGCCACTTGTTCGACCAGCTACGATTACTAGGTGATCAAGAATATTCAGTAAGGGTTACTTTTTTGGAATTATACAATGAAGAAGTATATGATTTATTATCTTCTAACACAGATGCTGCAAAGATAAGGTATTTATACTATATACATTTTCTTAATATAATGCTCATTTAATCTACTGAAGAACTATGTGATACTTTAAAAGGATATACGAGGATTCTACTAAAAAGGGAGCAGTAATAGTACACGGCTTACAGGAAGTGGCTATTCATAATAAACTTGATGTATTTCAAATCCTTCAGAAGGGATCTGAAAAACGTCAGACAGCAGCCACATTATTAAATGCTAACTCCAGGTTTTTATCACAGTTTATTATCAATCATTTCTATTTCATGAATTCTAATGTTTGTATTCTTTGTTTTAGTCGATCTCATACAATATTTTCAATTACTATTCACATAAAGGAGAACACTATCGACGGTGATGAACTCTTAAAGACAGGGAAATTAAATCTCGTTGATTTAGCCGGTAGCGAAAATGTTGGAAGATCCGGAGCTATCGATCGAAGAGCTAGGGAAGCAGGCAGTATTAATCAATCTCTATTAACTCTAGGACGAGTAATAACGGCGCTTGTAGAAAAGACTCCGCATGTACCCTATCGGTAAAGTATCGAAAGTTTAAAAATTAGAGCTGTAAGATACAATTAGATTTCAACGTATCCTATTTTTTTGTATGTGCAGAGAATCAAAATTAACACGATTACTGCAAGAATCATTGGGCGGACGTACAAGAACTTCAATAATTGCCACAGTGTCTCCTGCTAGCATTAATCTCGAAGAAACATTGTCAACTTTGGATTATGCTCATCGCGCAAAAAATGTTATGAATCGGCCGGAAGTTAACCAGAAATTTTCTAAAAAAGCATTGCTTCAGGAATATACAGAAGAAATCGAAAAATTGAAGAAAGATTTATCGGACTGTCGCGAACGAAATGGTGTTTATTTAGCCCCAGACAATTATAATCAAATGCAGTTGTTAAAAAACTTTCAAGATAAAGAAATAGAGCACAAGTTACATCACATTAAAGCGGTTCAAGATACTTTAAACTATAAACAGGTACATGTTAATATCGAAGTCTATAAATCATAGTAATTATATTTATAGTTTCCTGCAATGTAAGATTTTCAATTGTTGTTCTAGAAATTATTTGATGATCTACAATTAAAAAATTCTGAACAAGCAAATCAACTATCAAGTATGAAAAATCAATTGGAAACTACAAAGTATGCTTTGATCACGGCCACGTCGCATTTAACAGAATCAGAACAAGAAAAAACAGAAATAAAGCACCTTGTTGAAAAACATGCGTCGACTGAAAGTGTTCTTTTGTCGCAAGTGGAAACAGTTTTAAATGTTGTCGATACAGCCACTGCCGATGTACAGAAACTTCACGACAAAGTTTATCGCAAAATGTAAATTGTCTTGTATAACTGAATATGAATTCTTATTGTAAGAATTGATAATCTAATAATACCATGTATTCACAGGGAAATAGCACAACGAAACAGTTCGTATGGACAACAAACTAATAACAATGTTAAAGAACGATGCAGAAAAATTGAAGCTGACATAGGGACAAAGTCTGCAAACATGATACAATTTTACATGTCTCTGAAAGAGCTCATTAGTAAGGAACACATTTAATGAATACAGTATAATTTTGGAATTAACTACTTAATATTTTATCTTTTTAGATGCACAAACTCAGTCTCTCATTGACCGTGTTCACAAATCGGATCAACATATTTCTAATGATCTTCTTAATCCTACAAAAGATGTAACTGATAAATTGACAAGTCACACAATCAATTCTGTAAGTGATCAAATGAAGCTAATATTATTTAATATAGATCTAGTATCATAAGAGATCTTTTCAGCATTTAAGGTATCAAGAATGGTGTAAAAAAGAAATCGAGAGTATTACAGCCACGACCGAACAAGAATGTAACGTATTACGTAATAGTTGTAATACTGCACAGAAAATTCAACAATTAATGGACAATAAATTACCAGAAAATTTGCGAGATATAAGTAACGATGTCTCTCAAAAAATGGACAGTTTAGTCGTATTTACAAACGACGCTATAACGTCAATATCGAAACATTCGACCATGGAGTACGATCGTATAAATAATAATCTTACGGATATTAGGAGAACTGTTGACAACATTCGACAAAATTTGAAGAGCATTATGGAAAAAGAAAACAATTTTGCGAAGGTAGATACATTTTCAAGTATGACAATTACTGCATATTTAATGTCTAATATTTGCAGATGATGAATGACTTACAACACTGTTTTAATAAATCGCGAGAGGAAGACAAAGAAAAGCATTCTTCGATACACGTAACATTGCAGAATATCGATGAAGTGTCTAATCTTTTAAGTAACGAAGTTTCCGATATTGATAGAATACAGAGAGAAAAAGAAAACAGCATACAAGAGAAACTTCAGGATGACTCACAAGAAATAAAACAAATGGTCAAAGAAGAAACAGAAAAGGTAAAAGCGTAGCAATTCGATTCAAGAAAAATAGATTTTCCACTGTTCGGTTGTATAATTTGATGCCTACTTCTTTTAGTTGAGGACACTGTCAGAAAATGCTATTGCACAAAGTAAACGGTTAGTCAATGAATTCCAAACGAATTTATATAATGCTTGCGACACACTAATAAATTACAAAAGTTATATAGAATGTAATATGAGAAAAATACAGGAAAAAATGAAAACAGATGAAACCCACATTTTATCATCAATTAACGTAAGTAGACAGTTTTTATATGAATTCATTGTGATTACTCTTATTGTTTCTCATTGGTTTTTATATATTTGTATTATTTGCAGGATATATACACGACAGTATACGAAGCAGGCAACGAACGTACAAGATCCTTAAGCACTTGGAAATCAGCGTTCATCAATGCTTCTACCGAAATTATGGAAAAACTTGATAATGAAAATACGAATGCCGCATACACGAATAGCAGAATTATTTCAGAAATGCAAGTAATACGTGATCGAGTTGACAAATTCTTTACGGACGATTTATATCGAGATGTTCCGACGGGTACGTTTACATTTTTCATTGTTACGCCTGAAGAGAATAAAATTTCCTCATTTGATTAAAATTAAATAGGTTCAACACCATCGAGGAAAACCTTTCAGTACTCTAAAAAACTGCCTAGAACGTCGCCACCTGATCGAATTCTCAAACGGTATAGAGAATCACTCAATAAATTGAATAATATAGAAGATGAAGTAAGTGCTTTATTGTTTATTCTACCGATAATCTTCAACTCATGTATTCGAAAATTCTCATTTATGAAATATGTATGCCTTTCTAGTATATCCCAGAAGCGAATCACGAGAAGCCAATTACAGAAATTTTGGAGGAAGGCTTGAATATAAGTTAACAAACTGGTCTAGTTAAAATCATTGTAATTAATCCAGAATAAAGCAGCCTTTCTCTATATACAAACTTGGGCGTTTTCTCACCGATGGTATTTTGGCTGAAGGTTCCAAAATTAGTTGATCCCTTCGAAATAGCGATACCATTTGCTGGTCCATGATACGCATGGCAGTAGCATTCGCACGTAAAAATGAAAAGAAGGGAAAGGAAATGAGAGAGGAAAGTAGGCATGTTCTGAGAAAACTGCAACTTCAATTCAGCGACAATGACAGAAATCATGTCATTATTATTATTCAGACAGCATTTTCGATCCGTATCCCAGATCTCACACGTAACATCGACGTCTCTGTGTTCCTATTTAATAACATTATACAATTATGTACGTACGAATGTATAAAATTCTGTTTTTGTTTTTTCGTTCTTTTCTTTACGACTAATATGGGAATGTACGATCCGTTCCTCGCTGCAAGTGTCCTCGCGACACTTTTTTCGTGTTTTTTTTTTCTTCTCTTTA